CCACACTGCTCCGTGGATCAACCACGATAATCAGACATCACAGCACCCCCTGTCCCAGAGGAAAGCTGGGGTTCACTCCCTAGTCTTCTCCCCGTCTCCTTCTTCCTGACAGTGACTCCCATCCACTGACACCCCCAAAAAATGGCAGCGGCCCTGTCCCATTCTGAGCTCCGTGCGCCCCACCCAACAACGCAAACATACTCCAACAAGCCAGAGCCAGATCCACAGGGATGAATGGGCGCGGCCTCCCCGTCCTCCGCATCCTGGTCCTGGGTGCTAGCTGGGGGGGCCTGGAGGGGTCAGGGGTCACCTTCGCAGTGACCCTCAGGGAGGAGCTGCTGCTCTTGCTTCTGACACCACAAACAACAGAAACCAGGCAACAGCCGAGCCACGAGGAGGCCGGGCAGCCGGGCACCTGCGCAGCCTCAAAGGCCGGGCAGGCCGGCCTCACCCAGAAGCTTCTCCCGGCCCACGTCCAGGGAGGAATCGATCCAGGCCATCGATGATCCACCAGTGGATACACCCTCAGATCAAAGTCGCACTGGAAAGACTCGCGCATGCACACGCACGCACACACACACACAGAAATCAAACCCTTCCCACATCAAACGAGAGGATTTCCATTTCAGGTCCAAACTCCAGGTCCTGGATCCGAAAGCCCTTTGGACCCAGCACATGAGCCAGGCAGACATCGCCCCTCCAGCCCAAGGGGGTGTGGGAGAGGAAGACTGAGGAGGAGGAGGAGGAGGAGGGGGAGGAGGAGGAGGAGGAGGGGGAAGAGGAGGAGGGGAGGAAGAGGAGGAAGAGGAGGAGGGGAGGAAGAGGAGGGGAGGAGGGGAAGGAGGGGGAGGGGGAGGAGGGGAAGGAGGAGGAAGAGGAAGTGGAGGAGGAGGAAGAGGGGAAGGAGGGGGAGGGGGAGGAGGGGGACGGGGAGGAGGGGGAGGGGGAGACGCTGTCTTGGACAGGGGAGGCCGTGCGGGTGTCCGGTGTCCATCTCTCCGGGGGTATTGGCTATATAAATATGTAGATATGTAGTGTGTGTGTGTGTGTGTGTGTGTGTGTGCATGTGTGTGCGCCGCGTGTGCATGTGGAACTCGCTCACTGCTGAAGATAACCAGCATCACCTTCCCCCAAGATGGCAGCTACGCCATTCGGTGACATCATTTGGGCTGAGCAGCAGGTGGGCTGGGCCAGGCTGGGCTGAGCTGTGCTGGGCTGTGCTGTGCTGGGCTGCACTGGGCTGTGCTGTGCTGTGCTGTGCTGAGCTGTGCTGTGCTGAGCTGTGCTGGGCTGCACTGGGCTGTGCTGTGCTGTGCTGTGCTGAGCTGTGCTGTGCTGAGCTGTGCTGGGCTGCACTGGGCTGTGCTGTGCTGGGCTGTGCTGTGCTGGGCTGTGCTGGGCCAGGCTGTGCTGGGCTGCACTGGGCCGGGCTGTGCTGGGCTGTGCTGGGCCGGGCCTGGCCGGCCTGGGCTGTTCTGGGGCTGTGCTGGGCTGTGCTGGGCCGGGCTGTGCTGGGCTGGGCTGAGCTGGGCTGCACTGGGCCGGGCTGTGCTGGGCTGTGCTGGGCTGGGCCTGGCCGACCTGGGCTGTTCTGGGGCTGGGCTGGGCTGGGCTGCGCTGGGCCGCGCTGGGCTGGACCGGGTTGGACTAGGGTGGGCTGTGCTGTGCTGCGCTGGGCTGTGCTGGGTTGCGCTGGGCTGCTCTGGGGCTGGGCTGGGCTGGGCTGGGCCGGGCTGTGCAGGGCTGGGGCTGTGCTGGGCTGCACTGGGCCGGGCTGGGCTGGGCTGCGCTGGGCTGCTCTGGGCTGGGCTGGGCCGGGCTAGAGTGGGCTGGGCTGCGCTGGGCTCTCGTTGGACTTCATTGATCCCCCTCCACTAGAAGGAGCGGTGGTCCCCTCCAACCCTCCCTCTGGTGGCTGGAATAGAGGCCGGGATGAGGGTCATCTCCCTCCCCAGCTGAGAGGCTTCTAGAAGGCCCCCCAGACCCCTGGGGTCCCCTGAGGCCCAGTCCCCCCCTCCCGATGAGTTGAAATCTGTGACTCCATCTCAAGTGCTCCTCTCCCTCCCTCCGCGCCCAGCCTGGCTGTGCCCGGCCATCCATCACCACCGCCGCCATGACAACAGCCAATCCACGCAGGGCCAGCGGTTGCCATGGTGACAGGCCCCTGCTGCCCGCTGCCCGGCCCGCCAGCCCGGGCTGCTCCATCCTCCAAGGCCTGGCGGGACGCTGCTCTTCTTAGTCTTCTCAGAGGGACTGAGATGGCCGTGTGCTCACACTCCCGGGCGTGTAAGCCAATGGGAAGGCGGGAGAGTGTCTGTGGGGCCCTCTGAAGTCACGGCCTGGGTCAGATCGTGCACACACACCTCTCCCCTCCCTAACTTTCCAGAACATACAAGTCAAGCCACGCGCATGGCCATCCTGAAATGGACTCAAGGGGTCTTATTTGGGGGTGGGGGCTCCCCACCCCAGGCAGGTCAATGGGGAAACGCTCTGGCCAGGGCTCTGTCCACTCTCTTCCTCTGTTGGGTAAACTGAGGTTTGTTCTTAAAAACAAAGAAATTAAGCTGGCCCTGGCATCGGTGAGGATGGCGGAGGGGGACATCGTGGTCCCCAGCACCCCGCGAATGCACAGCACCCACCTTGCTTCTAGGAGACTCCGTGTCCTTGCTGTTGGTGACCTTCAAGGTATCAGGTGTGTGTGAGCCAGGCGCCGGTGCTCATGCCTGTCATCCCAGCTGCTCAGGAGGCTGAGATCTGAGGATCATGGTTCGAAGCCAGCCCAGGCAGGAAAGTCCATGAGACTCTGATCTCCCAGGAACCACCAGAAAGCCAGAAGTGGCACTGTGGCTCAAGTGGTAGAGCGCCAGCCTTGAGTGAAAGAGCTCAGGGACAGTGCCCAGGCCCTGAGTTCAAGACCCAGGACCAACAATAACCAATGCAAGAGTGTTGAGTTTGGGGGTCTCTTTTCGAGACCCTGGGGACCCCCAGAGCTACTGGAAAGGTTGGCTCCGCTGGGCGGGCCATCTCCACGAGTGTCACTACATCAGCCAGAGTGACCGAGGCCGGCCCAGGTCTCTCCTGGGAGTGGGGGTCACGCCCGGCTTCCTGGGGAGTCAGGAGATCCTGGCCGGTCTGCCACACCCCAGACCGTGTGTGTGTGTGTGTGTGTGTGTGTGTGTGTGTGTGTCAGGCCACATGTGCAACGCGGAAAAGGCTGGCTGCAGTTCCTTCCCCCCCTTACACCCCCACTTCCAGACCCAGGGACCTCAAGCGTGGAACGTGGGGCGTACTTGTGGGGTGCAGGGTGCTTGGTGCTGCCGGTTGCGAGGGCTCGGCGGAGGGGCGGACGGCTCTGGACAGTTCGGGGGTGGGGTGGGGGGGTGGAGGCCGGCCCCGGCTGCCCACACGGGTGGCACGGGCTCCAGCCGCCGCCGCCTCCCCTCGGATGCGCGGTGAGGTCCCAGCCGGGCTGCTCCCCCCTGTGGTCTCGGCCATGCTTCCCCCACCCACTCTGTGCGGCTGGGCTGCGGAGGAAAGGCCCGGGGCGGCCGCGAGCAGCCCCGCGCCACGGGGCCACGGCCATCCTGGGCTCTGCCCAGCGGGGCGCTGCTTTGTGCTAAACGCAGCTACGGCGGGAGGAGGAAATCAGACGCGGGGATGAAACACGGGGCGTGGAAATGCCCCCCCACGCGCACCCACCCACGCGCACCCACCCACGCGCGCCCACCCACGCGCACCCACCCACCCACACACACACCCCACGCGCGCGCGCACCCACCCACGCGCACACCCACGCGCACCCCTACCCACGCGCACCCACCCACGCGCACACCCACCCACACGCACCCACCCACACGCACACACCCACCCACCCACCCACGCGCACCCACCCACACGCACCCACCCACACGCACCCACCCACACGCACACACCCACCCACCCACCCACGCGCACCCACCCACACGCACCCACCCACACGCACACACCCACGCCCACCCACGCGCACCCACCCACGCGCACCCACCCACACACACACCCACACGCACACCTACCCACGCGCGCACCCACCCACACGCGCACCCACCCACGCGCACCCACCCACGCGCACCCACCCACGCGCACCCCCACGCGCACACCTACCCACGTGCACACCCACACGCACCCACCCACGCGCACCCACCCACGCGCACACCTACCCACGTGCACACCCACACGCACCCACCCACACACACCTCCCCACGCTCACCCACCCACGCGCACCCACCCACGCGCGCCCACCCACGCGCACCCACCCACGCTCACCCACCCACGCGCACCCACCCACCCACGCACCCACCCACGCACCCACCCACGCGCACACCTACCCACCCACCCACCCACGCACCCACCCACGCGCGCCCACCCACGCGCGCCCACCCACGCTCACCCACCCACGCGCACCCACCCACGCGCCCCACCCACGCGCGCCCACCCACGCGCACCCACCCACACACACACCCACGCGCACCCACCCACACACACCCACGCGCACCCACCCACACACACCCACGCGCACCCACCCACCCACACACACACCCACGCGCACCCACCCACGCGCACCCACCCACGCGCACCCACCCACCCACACACCCACCCACGCACACCCACCCACGCGCACCCACCCACCCACACACCCACGCGCACCCACCCACGCGCGCACCTACCCACACGCACCCACCCACACGCACCCACCCACGCGCACACCTACCCACGCGCACCTACCCACACACACGTGCGAAAACCCGGCCCCGTGGCAGCTGGCTGGGAGAGAGCGGATTCACCCCGAGCTGCTCCCTGCAGGCATCTTATTGTAACGCTGTGCGTGCTTTTATTTTTTTGTTTTGTTGGTCCTGGGGCTTGAACTCAGGGCCTGGGCGCTGTCCTTGAGCTCTCTCGCTCAAGGCTGGCGCTCTACCACTTGAGCCACAGCGCCACTTCTGGTTTTCTGGTGGTTCTTTGGAGATCAGAGTCTCACAGACTTTCCTGCTCAGGCTGGCTTTGAACCGCGATCCTCACATCTCAGCCTCCAGAGTAGCCGGGATGACAGGCGGAGCCACGAGGTTGGTCCCCTACTTCTGGCCCTCTCAGCCGTGGTGTGCGGGGTGACTTCTAGAAGGTCTGGAAGGGCCCTGGGGGCACCGGCCCGGTCAGGACATGGGCAGGTCGTGGTAGGCAGCATACCGTCCAGTCACGTGATGGTAAATCTGCCAGGGGAGGCATGTAAAAGTGTTTTCTAGATCATTCCAGAGATCCCTTAGCTCCTATGTAAGACTCAGCCCTGGAGGGGGGTCTCAATGGGTCCCCCGCCCCCGGCCCATTCCAGGTGGAGGCCAGGCCGGGGAGGCCCGGGCGTGGAGGCCGCGGGCCCCGACTCACCTGCCTCTCGATGTCCAGGAGGAGGCCACTGGCCCCGATGCGCAGGAGGCCGGGCTGCAGCCAGGCGTCCCCCAGCTCCTCCTTCACCAGCGACAGCCAGGCCAGGGCGTCCCGCGCACTGCGGATGCCGCCCGCGGGCTTGAACCCCACCTGCGAGGAGGGGGGGAGACCCGTCAGCCGAGGCCGGCCTCCCGCAGGGTCACCGCCTGGCAGGCCGGCCGGCCGTCTGCCCTCCTTCCTTGTTGCTTTTTTGGCCCAGTGCCTGCATCCCGATACACATGGAGGACAATGCACCCCACTTCCCTGGGACCCCAAAATCACGGGAGGAGACAACAAAGACGCGTCTGCACCCCTGGAAGAGACAAGAGAGCCCCAGCTCAGACTGCAGGCGTGCGTCACGGTGCCGGGCCGGGGCGGGGTTTAGAGAGGTGTCTCAGGAGGGATTTCTCTTTGCTGCTGTTTTCTCTTTGTCTCCTGGGTGGGTCTCTCTGTCTCTGGGAGGGTGAGGGGGCACAGAAATGGGGGGACAGAGGGGAAACCGAGGCAGCCGGGGTCCTCACGGGACACCAGGTGGAGAATGAACTCTACCACTTGTGGGTGGGGACGGGAGGGAATCACTGGGGGAGAGAGCGAGGGACGGGGGGACATGGTCCACAGAGAAACGCGCTCGTGACCCGACTGATGTCACTGTCACCTCTCTGCCCGTCACCTTTGTCATCATGGTAAAAACATGTTTAGAAAAGAGATGTCTCATGGAAAGGGAAAGTCTTGCCGGGCGCCGTGGCTCCCGCCTGTCATCCCAGCCACTCCGGAGGCTGAGATCTGAGGATCGTGGTTCAAAGCCAGCCCGGGCAGGAAAATCCGTGAGACTCTGATCTCCCATGAACCACTCCAACAAACAAGCCAAGTCCAAATTCATTTAAAAACGGGTGTGCGTACCGCACCGCATACCGTCTGCCTTTTGAACGTCCCATTTTCCCCAAATACATAAATAAATGAGATTTTCCCCAGAGCTGATAAAAGCCACTACGTCCCTCCTCGGCTTCACAGCCTTGGGAGAGAGCTCAGGCATCTCCCCACAGCTCCCCCAACCGCCTGCTCCTCCTCCTTGATTTTTTTTCCCAGCGTTTCCTCGTATTTCATTATCGTGTTTAACAAGTTCATCTCTTTCGAGAACTTTCTCGTCACCTCCTATTATTAAACATAATACCTTTTGGGGGGTTTTTTGGTCCTAGACTGGACAGGGGAGGAGAGAACAGTTAAGACAGTTAAGGGGGGGGGGGGAAGGAAAACCAATTTGTGCGTGTGTCCTTCAGTAATGACAGGAAAAAGATTATTTCCCATGACGCAGCAGCACTGGCTTCCCTACCACCACGCGCGGCTTATCACTCATGAGCGTTATTCTGTTATTCCGTCCATGCTCCTGGGGGGGGGGAGGGAGGGAGGGGGGGGAGTGTAATTTCATCATTCACCTGTTTTCACTGGACATCACCCCCCTCTATGAAGGACTAACTCATTAAAGGAGCCGCTTAGGGGTTCGCCCGTCGGTGATAAAGGATCATCACGGATGAACACAGGGCTGAGGAGCGAGTGTACACTTTGCTCCTCCTCACACACAGGCTAACCAACGTTTATCTTAAAGGTAACGCCGCCCTGCTCCTCCTCCACGCAGGGCCCGTGGCTGTGAGGAGTAATATAAATGACATTGTCTCTCCTCCCCAGAGAAGACCAAAGATGCGTAGGCAACCATGTACCTTCCTTCCCGTTCTCCAGAAGAAGTCTCGGATGGCTCGAAGCATCACGATGGCCACGGGGAAGGTGGCGTTGACCGTCTCCTTTCCCGTGGACGTTTTAATAAAATCAGACCCTGACACAAGAGCAGGGAGACAAGAAAAGGTTCCAGGTTCATTAAAAGCTTTCTTTTTCCCCGTTTTTTGTTTTGGTTTGTATTTTTAACACATCAGGGAAAGAAATGAGTTGCATCCCAACCTTTCCTGAGGAATACAACTTTTCTTTCACTTTGAAAAACCAAAATGAATATTTTATTATTACTATTATTATTACCATTTTTGGTCCGCTATAGGGCTTGAACTTGGGCTTTTTTTTTTTTGCTCAGTACTAGCGCTCTACCACTTGAGCCACAGCTCCACTTCCAGGTTTCTGGAGAGAAGAGTCTCACAGACTTTCCTGCCTGGGCTGGCTTTGAACCACGATCCTCAGATCTCAGCCTCCTGAGTGGCTGGTTTGACAGGTGGGAGCCACGGTGCCCGGCACCAATGTGGGTTGGTTTTATCTTGAGTGTTTATTTTCATGTATTACAACATACTCTCTGCCTTCTGCCCCGGCCCTAGAGTGAGCAGTTTCCCCAATGCTTCTCTTCGTGAGAGAATGTGCTAGAAAGCATGGCGTGGGGTAGGGATCTGTCCTGCACCGCTGTAGTGTCTTGCTTCTGGACCGGGCACATGACCCGCTGCTAGATGGACATGGAAAAGGCTTGCACACAGAGCCCTTCATCTATCCATCCAACTGGACGCCAATTACACCGGCATCCACAAATCCCACCCATTCTCACACAGATCATTCTAGAAACCCCCTCCCCAACAGCGGCCCCCAGCTCTCCAGTGATCAGGCCATCGACTGGTAACCATAGCAACACAAGACACAACTTTCCCACAGCGGTGGTACACAAACAGCCCACAGGACCTCACAATCACACACAGCGTACTTTTCCTCTACCTTAAGAAAACGTGGCTCCTGCCTGTCATCCCAGCTACTCAGGAGGCTGAGATCTAGAGGATCACAGTTCAAAGCCAGCCCGGGTAGGAAAGTCCATGAGACTCTGATCTCCAATAAACTAGTCAGAAAACCAGAAGTGGAGTTGTGGTTTAAGTGGTAGAGCACCAGCCTTGAGTGAAAGAGCTCAGGGATGGTACCCAGGCCCTGAGTTCAAGCCCCAGGACAGGCAAAAAAAAAAAAAAAATGAGTTATCATCATCATCATCTCACAATTAAAAGAAAGAGACCCAGTTCTTTTCTAAGAACTCCAGGCCAACAAAATGAAGAAACCTAGGAGGCCAACGTATTAGTGAACTACAGGTATTAAAATGAATAATGCTGTAGTCTTCGGGTCTGTTATAACTTCCCCTTTCCCTCACTTGCAATCCTTACACAATCGTTTTTGGTTTTGTTTTGTTTTTTCTTGGTGGGCTTAAAGCTACCCCAAGCTCTTCGAAGGGGCTCTAATTACAAATCTCCGAGGTACGGTTTCATTAAGCAACTTCCATTAAATAACAGCTGCCCTTGTATATGGGCTTGTAATCAATTTGGTCAAACAGAGTGACTTCTAATCAGCTGTTGATAAAAATAGAAGATGAAATTTTAATTCTAATAGATTAACCGCAAACGGCAAGACGAGTCTTCAAAACCCATCTTCGTGCTTTTCTCCAGCGACTTTAATGAGTGCTCAGCAGCTCATTAGCAAACAGAGCCACGGAGAACATTTCCAGTTCATTAAGGAAATGGACTATGTATTTTTGCATTGTCTTCCTGATTCCTTACAGGGAGAGTCTTAATTACAAGATAATGGATAATGGTTATTAAAAGCAGGCTCCCGTAATGAACCGCTATTCATTTGCGAACCTCTGAGACCACAGAGAGACTGAGCAAGAGAGAGAGAGGAAAATAAAATTACTGACTCCCAAAGATGAACGGATCAAATTATTATTCAATTTTGAAGATCTCATTCAAACTCTGTTGAAACAAGAGGAGATGAAGAAACTAGTCTTCAGACCAAAGCTGTACGTTTAAGATAATAACAACAATAATAATAATATCTCAAGGCTATTACTGCATAATAAGCTTCCGTTGCGGTTACGCAGGGAAAGCACTGAGCTTACAATGGGAAAACATACGATTTTTTTTTTTTAAGTACTTCTGGAGCCAATCTGGTTTGTGATGTAGGAAAAAAGAATCCGGTGGACCGTGGACGGGGATTCTACGGGGGGAAAGCACGGCGGATGCCTTCTTTGCACTTTATACTTTACTAATGAATCGTGGGATTTAAAGTGTTTGAGAATGCTTGTCTTTTACGCGGCGTTCACGCCGACACCGTTAATAATTATTTCCAGGCTCGCCAAGAAATTACCGATTCGAGTTAGCCAGAGTTGTGGGCGGCAATTCGGTAATTCTGACACTAATTCACACTGGCCGTCCACCATGAGACACTCCTTAAAAACAAACAAACAAAAGCCCTCTTCATAAACAGAAAGCAAAGCCCCAAGTTCAAACGAAATCTGCGAAGGTTACTCCACACGGGTGGATAAAGAATCTGGGGTGTGGTTTTAAGGACTGTGGGGTCAGGGCTGGAGACTGGGCTGGGGGAGGCAGGGAGGCAGGGAGACAGAGGCTCTGACGACAGTGCTCAGCCTCAGACCAGAGCCCCACAAAGCTTCGTCTCTGTGTCCCAGCGGGAGGAAGAAGGAAGGAGAAAATGAAAACTGAAAGTCAGGCTGGGTTCCTGTGGAGTGGCTCACGCCTGTCATCCCAACCACTGAGGCTGAGATCTGAGAATCGAGGTTCGAGGCCAGCCCAGGCAGGAAAGTCCCTCAGACTCTGATCAGAGAGCCGGAAGTGGCGCTGTGGCTCAAGAGGTAGAGCACCAGCTTTAAGTGAAAGGGCTCAGGGGCAGCGCCAGGCCCTGAGTTCAAGACCCAGGACAGGCAATAAATAGATAGATAGATACATACATACATATATACAGAGATCCACAGATCAATAGGATAAAATAATTTGAAACTCCAGACGATGGGATCGCTTAGTGTTTTAGACTCATGATAGAACACAAACACTGATCTAGAACTCAAATCTCTAATGCTGAAGGCCTCACATTCTCCAGCTTTTGTGAGGGAGGGGAGTCAGCCCTGGGTCTTGAACTCAGGGCCTGGGCGCTGTCCCTGAGCTCTTTCACTCAAGGCTGGCGCTCTACCACTTGAACCACAGCGCCACTTCTGATTTTCTGGTGGTTCATGGGAGATCAGAGTCTCACAGACTTTCCTGCCTGGGCTGGCTTTGAACCATGATCTTCCGATCTCAGCCTCCTGAGTAGCTGGGATGGCAGGCGGGAGCTCCGGCGCAGGGCAGTCTTGTTCTGTGGCCAGCCTCTGTCCTTGTGCTGCTGGAGCTTCCCGGGTTCGGGGCTCCTGTCTTCGCCAACACCTTCCGTGAGTGACGAAGTTTTCGCATCAAGATGTATCTGCTTTGTCTCTCCCCGGGGAAGGGAGAGGGAAAGGCAGCTAGGATGTCCGTTCTAAGGCTTGGGCAGAGAGGAGGGGGAAGACGGGCTGTGAGCGCCCCCTGGCTGTGAAGCCGGGAACATGTGGATTCAGCCCGCGGGCGTTTACAGCTGCAGGACCGGCTTCCAGAGAGATGGACTCGGATCCACAGCGCCCCGGACGAAGCCAGCTGGAAAATGACGCTTACTTTTATGTGGATTAAGAGAGTCGCGATGACGCTGGGCAAAGCTTTGGGGGGGAGAACCCCACACACACCTCCATGTCAGCGCAAATCTCTTTTTTTGGTGGTAAGTGTGTTGAGTTTCTGGGGTTCGGGGGGGGGGGTTGTTTGTTATTTTACCAACCCGTCTTTCATAAAAAGGAGTTTTGCTCCTTTTCCCATGGGAACTCGGTCTCTCGGCTCATTGATTCACTGGAGAGGAGGCTCAGCTCTGTGTGGAAGGTACTTAGTCCCGGAGCCCCAAGATCAGCCCAGGGTCCTGCCTGCTCTGCAAATGCTTTTCGGGTTCAAATCCTCTCTTTCTCTCTGTCTGTCTTTGTCTTTCTCTTCCTCTTTCTCTCTCTGTCTCTGTCTGTCTGTCTGTCTCTGTCTCTGTCTCCATCTCTCTCTGGCTCGCAGGAGTTGCTGAGCCCACACAGCCTTGGGCGGGAGAGAGAAAGGGCAGACGTTCACTCCGAACCCCCAAACGGGGGGAAGAGAAACCAATCCCGAGTTCCCGGAGAAAAGGGGGAGTCGGGAGGGGCGGGAAATCCTGGCCAACATCTGGATTCCTTCCTGGAAGAGCTAGCAAGCCACTCTTCCAAAACTCCCAAGCAGGAGCCGGGCGATCCGGCGTACGCCTGTCAGACTCAGGAGGCTGAGGGCTGAGGATCACGGTTCGAGGCCACCAGAAAACCACAAGTGGCGCTGTGGCTCACGTGGTAGAGCGCCAGCCTTGAGTGAAAGAGCTCAGGGACAGCGCCCAGGCCCTGAGTTCAAGACCCAGGATCGGCACCAAGAAAAAAGATCAGCGAAGGCTGTTCATCTGTAGATGAATGAATAATCAGCTGACAGGCGGGCAACTGGCTGAGCAGGGCGCCACCTGCTGGCCCTGTCAGGAGAGCGCAGGAACTGAGCAAGATCAGAGTCCAGCCCTCCACTCACGAGGGCTCACGCCTATTTGCACCTGGCTCACACCCCTCCCACAGGAGAATCCGCGCCCCCCCCCCCCCCCCCCGCCGGCCCTTGGGGGAACAGGCCAGAGGCTTTCATTTTGACCAGTTTCCCTCATAAGAATAAGAATCTGAGCCAGGCGCTGGTGGCTCCCGCCTGTCATCCCAGCTACTCAGGAGGCTGAGATCTGAGGATCAAGGTTCAAAGCCAGCCCAGGGCAGGAAAGGCCATGAGACACTGATCTCCAATGAACCACTCAGAAAAACAGAAGTGGCACTGTGGCTCATGTGGTAGCGCGCCAGCCTGTAGTAAAAGAGCTCAAGGGACAGCGCCCAGGCCCTGAGTTCAAGTCCCACCCCCGACCAAATAAAAGAACCGGAATCCGGTCCAAGCGGGAGGGGCCTACCTGCCATCATGGCCACCATGCTGGCCTTGTAGACGTTGGTGAGTGAGCCCAGCTCCCCAGTGGCTAGGATGGTCTTGAGGTGCACCTTCTCCCCGCAGGCCTGGCGGAATGCACGGATCTCCTCGTACAGGGCTGGGGGGGGAGAGAAATGGGGGGGTGAGAGAGCTGGCGGGGGGGGGGGGGGGGCTTCTGGGAGCTGCAGGGCCCAAGATCGACGGACAAAGCCTCCCATGATCGCTGGTCACACACACACCCCAGGACAACACGGGGTGGGGCGGGGGGAGGTGGGGAGGTCTGCTGCCGCTCACACCCTTCCCCGGCCCCGCCCGGCCTCCCCTGGTAGAGGGAGCTTTGTCCGTGTCACGACGTGCACTTGGCGGGCGCTGGTGCTCACGCCTGTCGTCCCAGCCACTCAGGAGGCTGAGATCTGAGGATCACGGTTCAAAGCCAGCCCAGGCAGGAAAGTGCGTGAGACTCTGATCTCCCATAAAATCACCAGACAAAACAGCCAGAAGTGGAGCTGTGGCTCAAGGAGCAGAGCACGGGCTCTGATCAAAGAAAACAACAGCAGGGCTCTGTGGTAGAGCGATTGCCTAGTGTGCAGGAGGCCCCGGGTTCGATTCCACAGTACCACATACACAAACAGCAGCAACAATGAACCAGAAAAACCTGGTGTGCCTTAGGCCTCAGCCATTTGGGAGTGAAGTCGCATTCAGCTCGTGATTCAATAACCCCATCCCCACCTCTCAGCGCGCTTTACTGAGCAGTTATTTCGCGGCCTGCAGGGACTCGATGTTCCTGGGGAAGGCTGAAGGTTCCCCAAGCTGGGAGGGGTGAGGGGGGCGCTGATGGTCTACGTGATGTCTACCCACAATGCATGAATGGATGCCCGCTTATTCAAACGCAAGAGGCCCAGCCACTCGCCGGTGGGCAGACCTGGCAGACCTCGCCGCCGCCGGGCGAGGATGGGTCTCACCAAGAATCAGACAGATGATCTTCCCGGGCTCCTAAGAGAGTCCAGATAAGAATGCACGGCCTGCACCTGATCCATCCGGGAAACACGCCTGGCAGCGCACCCCAAGGGAGGTGCACCCCAAAGACAAGCAAGCGCCCAAGAGCCAGACCCAAGAAAGGAGGCCGGAGGAGCTGGGCACAGCAGCACACGCCTGTAATCCCAGAGGCGCCGGAGCCCACCCAGGAAGACTGAGGGAGGCTGGGGGGGGGGGGGGCAGGGCTCGGGGCTAGAGGCGCTTGCCCAGCAAAAATCAGGTCCTGAGTTCAAACCCGACAGTCAAATGAGAGAGGGAGAGCGGGAGGGAGGGAGGGGGAGGAAAAAGGAAGAAAGGCAAGCAGGCATGAAGGAAGGACTTGAACTCAGGCCTGGGCGCTGTCCCTCAGCTCTTACACTCAAGGCTGGCGCTCTACCCCTTGAGCCACAGCGCCATGTCTGGTTTTCTGGTGGCTCATGGGAGATCAGAGTCTCACGGACTTTCCTGCCCGGGCTGGCTTTGAACTGCGATCCTCAGGTCTCAGCCTCCTGAGTCGCTGGGATGACAGGCGGGACTTCGCTGGGCTACATCAGTACTCAGAGTTGCACACAGACATGAATAACAATAACAACAGCAACAGTAACAGTAACGGCGGTGAGGCCAGCATCAGTGAGCCCCACGGGGGGCAGAGGTGGGAAGGAGGGTTCACCTGGCCCCGAGTGGGGGGGAGGGTGGCAGAGGTCGGGAGGGCGGTGGCCATGCGGGGGCGGGGCTCTCCTCTGCCCCCCTCCACCCCCCCCACCTCCCCCCATCCAGGTCGTCGGGCCCGGGCCGGCCGCACCCACCTTCCCAGCGGCCCTCCAGCACCAGGGTCCGGTTGATGACCACGTCCACCTCCGCGGCCCCGTCCTCCACCGCCAGCCGGACCTCCTCCAGACGCGTGCGCAGAGGTGTCTGTCCCGCGGGGAAGCCCGTGGCCACTGCAGGGGGGGGGGGAGGGGGAGAGGGAGGGGGGGAGGGGGGGAGGGAGGGGGGGAGGGAGGAGGAGGAAGGGGGAGAGGGAGGGGGGAGGGAGGGGGGAGGGAGGGAGGGGGGAGGGGGGGAGGGGGGGAGGGAGGGAGGCAGGCGTGTGGAGGGATGCAGGCATGTGACATCACAGGCGTGTGGAGGGACGCGGGCGTGTGACGTCACGGGCGTGTGGAGGCTGCACGTGTGTGACGTCACAGGCCGCCCCCCGTTTCCCCGCCGTCCCCCCAGGAGGGGCGGATCCCTGCTCCAGCCCGTGTCCGGTGTCCGGTGTCCGTGAGGCCCGCGGCCGCCGCAGCTCCCCGCCGTCCCTCCCCGCCGCGCCCCAGCCCGCAGGAAGGCGCCGCCCCGCCCCGCGCCCGCCCGAGCCCGAGCCGCCCCCCGCGGGCCGCGCGAGCCTCACCGGACGCCACGGGAACCCCGCAGCCAGCCGCCCTCAGGGCCTGCAGCGCGTCGCGCACCCGGGCCGGGAACACACACACGGCAGCCGCGGACACGCCTGCGGGCCAAGGCGCAGCGTCACGGGGGACCGCGGGGGAACCGCGCCGCGCCCGCCGCCCGGCCGCCCGGGCTGGCTGTGAACCACGACCCTCAGCTCTCAGCCTCCTGAGCGGCCGGGATGACGGGCGGGAGCCACCCGCACCGGCCCAAGCCCGCATTCCCACCGCGTTCCCAGCCCCACCTTGGGAGGCGGGGTGGTGCGCACGGCTGGAGGGACTGGGGGGGGGCCAGGACCTTTGTCGTGCATGTCCAGGGCGCTCAGCAGGTCCTGGCGGATGGGGTACTTGGCTTTGTAGCACAGCCTGCGGACGCTGGCGGCGGTGTCATCCCCGGACAGCGTGGTGAGGTCCATCAGGGTCACGGCCTTCAGGAGCCACGCGGCCTGGGGGGGGGAGACAAGAGATCACTGCCCGCCCCGTCACTGGACACGCGTGGCCCGGGCCTAGAACCACCACGCACCCAACCCCTCCCCAGCCCGTGGCCGGCGGCTCAAGCCTGTCATCCCCCGGCGACCGGGGAGGCCGAGATCCAGAGGATCGGGGCTCCAGGCCGGCCCGCGACAGCGCAGTCCCCGAGGGGCTGATCGCCAAGGAACCGCCAAAACGCTGGGCTGGAGGCGTGGCTCAGGCGGCGGGGCGCCAGCCCTGGGCGTGCGCCGGGGTCACGCCCAGAGCGCGAGACGCCGAGCTGGAACATGCCAGAGCGGTCCGCACCTGCCACTCCTGCTTCACCGTCCTGCGGGCCTGGACCTGCCCGGCCCGGCGGAGCACGGCCGGCTGGTTCACGCGCACGCTGCCCATCCAGCCGAGCTCCAGCGCGGGGCGGCTGGGCGGCGGCTTCGCGGGGGCCGGGCTCCTGTCTGGGGCGGGGCGGGCGTGAGGGGCGGGGCGGGCGTGAGGGGCGGGGCGCCGTGAGGGGGCGGGGCGGCGTGAGGGGCGGGGCGGCGTGAGGGGCGGGGCGGGCGTGAGGGGCGGGGCGGCGTGAGGGGGCGGGGCGGGCGTGAGGGGCGGGGCGGCGTGAGGGGCGGGGCGGGCGTGAGGGGCGGGGCGGCGTGAGGGGGGGGGCGTGAGGGGGCGGGGCGGGCGTGAGGGGGCGGGGCGGGCGTGAGGGGCGGGGCGCCGTGAGGGGGCGGGGCGGGCGTGAGGGGCGGGGCGCCGTGAGGGGGCGGGGCGTGCGTGAGGGTCGAGGCGCCGTGAGGGGCGGCTGGCGGGAGGTCCTGGCGGGAGGTCACGGCGGCGCGCATGCGCACTCCCCGCTGCGAGCGCGGCCGGGGCTCGGGGTCGGCGCCAGGCCGGAGCTCGAGGCCCCGGGCCGAGGGACGGGGGGAAGGGAGCCGGGCGCGGCCGCCCGCGGGGGGGCACGCGCGCCCTGCCGTGGCAGGGGGACCGTGACCCCGTGACCCCGCCCGGGGCCGGGGCCCAGGAGGGGAAAGCCCGCCCCAGCCCGCCCGCGGAGGGGGGGGGGCACGGGGGAGGGGGGAGTGTACCGCGCGGGGGGAGGGGAGGGGGGCGCGGTGGGGGCGCGGGAGGGGGGAGGCGCCGATGAGCCCCCCCCCAGCCGGGATCTCCGGAAGGAAGCCGGGCGCGGAGCCCGGCCCGATCCGGTGCGGTCCGAGCCCTTCGGCTCAGTGGGCGCCGCCCGCCCGCCCAGGACCCAGAGCGGCCCCCGGGGAGGGCGCGGGACCGGGGCGCTCACCCAACAGCACCACGCCGGGGCCGCTCGCCGCCATCGCGCCGCAACGCCGCTTCCGCCTTCCGGCCGCAAGCCCCGCCCCGCCCGCGCCGGCCCCGCCCCCGGGACGCAGGTCCCGCCCTCCCGCCGGAAGCAGCCGCAGAGCGGCTTGGCGCCAGGTCGCTGGGGCCGGAGGCGGGCCCGCGTGGGAGCTGGGTCTGGGTTCAAAGCCTGGGGCGGTCCAAGGTGGTCGTCAGCGCGGGGACGCCGGCGAAACGGCCCCGGTACCCCGACTTGGTAGAGACTGACAGGTGACCCCCCTGACCTCGGGGTCACAGCGCCTCCCGCTCCCCAGGGCGCTTCCTCCCCCACCTCTGCGTCACCGCCGTGTGACGTGCGTGCAGGTCCACACAGCTGTGCGCACGCGCACCGCGAGTTCCTAAGTGTGAGGACGCGCGCGTGCGTGTAGCAGCGGACGGCGCCCTGGCCCCGGCTGGCCCCGGCTACTCTGCGGGCCCAGATCTGCGGACCGCGGCTCGAAGCCGGCCCGGGCATGAACCCGCAGGCTGTGGGGTGACGGCTGAGGTCGGCGCCGGCCCGGGCTGGGGTTTAGCTCCACGTCCACTGTCTGGGGTGGGGCCGGGTCGCGGGGCCTGACCCCCGGCGGCGCCCCGCACTCTCCCGCTCCAGGCGGGCGCTCCGCCGCTGGAGCCCCTGCCCGGCCCCCCCCCACACCCCACCCCACCCCACCCCCGTGGCGGACGTGCGGTGGAAGCTTCTGGAAGCTTCTAGAAGCGTGGTGGCGGGGCCGCGCGGCGGAGCGTTTCGTTTGGAGGAGTTTTATTTAATAACTAAAATAATTATGTCCGGAGGCCGCGCGCGGAGGGCCGGGCACGCGCTGGGCCGCGGCCGCTGACCGCGGGGCGGAACAAAAATAGCGTTCTGCGGGGGGGGGGGGGGGGGGGGGGAGGGGAGAGGGGGAGTCGAGGGAGGGGGCCGGCCGGCGCTGTCCGCCCCCTCCGGTCCGGGAGCTGCGGGCGCTGATGGAAGGAGGCGCTGGCGCTGGCGCGGGCTCGCGCGCACTGCGGTTCCGACACTGTCACCGCAGCCGGCCGCGCCCGGCGTCTTCTGCCGTGGGGTGGTTGGGGTGGTCGGACCGGGACCGGGGGGCGCGCGCGGCGGCTCCTCCGCGCATGCGCACCCTCCGCGCACGCGCGCTCAGGCCTTCACCTCGGGGGTGGAGGAGTAGATGGAATCCGAGTTCTCTGAAGCGATTTCTTCTGCGATTCAAAACACAAGACAAGTCCGAGCGGTCAGCAGGGGGAGGGCGGGCGCATGCCGCTGGGGACGAGAAGCGCGGGTGCCCCGCACCGCACCGGGAGCCGCCCCGTGGCCCCACAGCCAGGGCGCGTGCTGACGTGAGGACGTCCTGACGTGAGGACGTGCTGCCGTGAGGACGTGCCGGCGCGGGCGCATGCGCGCCGCCCGCCTCGCGCGCAGGCCCGGGCTCGAGGCCTCGGCACCGCGCGCGGTTAAAGCGGGAAGCGGCGCCCGGCGCCGACGGCGGGGCGCTGGCCTGGAGCAACAGCAGCTGGGGGACGGCGCCGGGCCGCGAGTTCAAACCCCACGGCCGGCAAAAACACAACGAAGACACAACTACGAGCCTGCAGTCGAGTAATGGCATCCTCATTCCTCCTCCGTGTCCACCGCGGGACCGCCCGCCGCCCCGCGCAGGCGCGGTGCTCACCCAGCGCCCCCTCCGCCCCCCCCCCCCCCCCCCCCCCCCGCGCAGGCGCGGTGCTCACCCAGCTCCTCCTCGGCCCCCCCCCCCCCCCCCGCGCAGGCGAGGTGCTCACGCAGCGCCTCCTCCGCCCCCCCCCCCCCCCCCCGCGCAGGCGCGGTGCTCACCCAGCTCCTCCTCGGCGCCCTCGGTGAAGCCCAGCTTGGGCTTGGCCAGCTCTCCGCTCTCTTCCTCTGCGGAGAGAGCAGCGGTCGGCGGTCAGCGCCCCCCCCCCCCCCCCCCCCCCCCCGCCCCGCGCTGGCTGGGCGCAGGCGCACCGGGCGCGCGCATGCGCAGGCACTCACCGGGCAGCACGCACTTCCACAGGCCGTAGGTCTTGCCCACCACCGTCTGCCACAGGCGCAGCGTGCCGTCCTCCGAGCCGCTGGCGTACAGCTCGCCGTCGGGGCTGAAGCGCACGCAGTGGATCGGCCCGAAGTGCCCCTTGTACGACTCTGCAAGGCCCAGGCCGCCATCACCGCCACCGCCGGGGACCCGGAAAACCGGGGTGACGGCCGGACAGACACACGGACAGACACACACACACACACACACACACACACACACACACACACACACACAGACAGACAGACACAGACAAGCGGGTGGGGAAAGCAGAGCCCCGGCCCCGGCCCCGGCCGCCCCTCCCCCGCCGTGCGCTCCGGGCAGGGCGGCCAGCCGAGGGTGGGCCCCGTGGGGTCCCCGCACTCACCCAGCTCCTCCCCGCTGCTGTAGTCGTACTTGTACAGCTTGAAGTCCTCGCCCCCCGCCACGAGGAACTCCTTCTCGGGGTGCAGCGAGGCCGAGTTGATGGTGGCGGGGGCCTCGAAGGACTTGATGGGGTCCAGGCTGAGGGCGGGAGGGGCGCTCAGCGGCCCTGACGCACCCCCGGAGCCCACCCGGAACGCGCCGCCTTTCCGGGCCCTGCTGGGCGTGGACGGGGTCCCCGGGTGTGTGTACCCCAGGCCCACCGCCCCCTCCTCCAAGCGCTGGGACTAAGCGCGTGCGCTGCCCTGCTCGGCGGGGGTACCTCCGCGCCCCCACAGGGCTCGCTCGTGTTCTCAAAGACACGCGTGATGACCAGAACGCTTCTCAATCAAAAAAAAAAGGTCAGGATTATGTTCATTCCAGTGCAGAAGTCCCAGGGAAACCCACAGACACGGACGCAGGGAACGGAAAAAAGCGGCGAAGGCCTTCCTGCGTCACGATGGCGCGCGTGGACCGCCGGGAGCCCGCGCCTGCCCGACGCACAAGGTGCGCACGGCGCGACCGTGGGAGGAGACCGCTGGGCTCGCCAGCCCGGCGCGCGTGCGCACGGGAGGGGCAGGGCGGGCGCGACCGTGGGAGGAGACCGCTGGGCTCGCCAGCCCGGCGCGCGTGCGCACGGGAGGGGCAGGGCGGGCGCGACCGTGGGAGGAGACCGCTGGGCTCGCCAGCCCGGCGCGCGTGCGCACGGCAGGGGCAGGGCGGGCGCGGAGACCGCTGGGCTCGCCAGCCCGGCGCGCATGCGCACGGGAGGGGCAGGGCGGGCGCGGAGACCGCTGGGCTCGCCAGCCCGGCGCGCGTGCGCACGGCAGGGGCAGGGCGGGCGCGGAGACCGCTGGGCTCGCCAGCCCGGCGCGCGTGCGCACGGCAGGGGCAGGGCGGGCGCGGAGACCGCTGGGCTCGCCAGCCCGGCGCGCGTGCGCACGGGAGGGGCAGGGCGAGCGCGGAGACCGCTGGGCTCGCCAGCCCGGCGCGCGTGCGCACGGGAGGGGCAGGGCGAGCGCGGAGACCGCTGGGCTCGCCAGCCCGGCGCGCGTGCGCACGGGAGGGCGGGCGGGGAGGCCGGGCGGGCGGGCGCGGGGGCACACGGGCACACGTACCTCAGCGCGCTGTGGAAGGCGATGGTGCGTCCGTAGGTGAGCACCAGGATCTCGCCCTCGGGGATGTAGGCCATGCTGCTCACCGACATGCTGAAGCTCAGGGACTTCACCTCCGTCATGGACGCGTGGTCCCACAGGCTGCGGGAGGAGAGGGGCACGCAGGGCGCGTGCTGGCGGGCGCGCACGGACCAAGGGGCGCGGGCCCATGGCTGTGACCCCGGAGCCACGACCCCCCGCCCCGCAGGACCGCGGACCCCGTAGAGAACACCCCCAAACGCCGGCCCAGCGGCAGCAGCTGGACGGCCACGTGTCACCGCGAGCATGTCCGTCCTGCGAAGTGGACACCGGGTGACCGGGGCTGGGCCTCCGCGGTCGCCGTCTGTCCGCCCCCCCCGCCCGGGGGCCCCTCGGCTCCGGGGAACGCGGTCTCGCGCGAGGCGCGCCACGCACCGGACGGTCTTGTCGTCGGCGGAGAGGATCTGCTTGTCGTCGCTGCACCACAGGGCCTTCTTGATGCCGGACGTGTGCCCGCCGATCTCCCTGGGCTCTGCACAAGCAGCGGGGCGCACGCGCGGTTAGGGGCCGCCACGCTTCCCCCGCGCCCCTCAAACCCGCCGGTTCCTTAGGGAAGCGCGCGCGCGCGCGCGCACGCACGCACGCACGCACGCACGCCCCGGCTGCCCGCGGTGAGGGCCCAGCCGAGACTGCGGGCGTGCACCACACGGCCGGGAAACGGGGACCCTTGGGTAACCACGAACCCCGCGTAACGCGGGGGCGAGAGCTGGCGGCGCACGCGCCACGGCTCCCCGCCCTCTGCCGCGCTGCGCTCACGGGGACGCATGGGAGAGGACCGAGGTCGGGACAGAGCGGGAAAGCGAGCAGCTTAGAAGGAACGCCTCCAAATCCTCCTCAGACACAGCCTGGCGGGACAGAAAACGGCCCCGAGCCGCGTCAGCGCGCCTGCGCGGAGGCCAGTGCGCCGCAGGGCCGGGCCACCTGCGCTCCGTGCGGGGGCGGTCCCGGGCTTGAACTCGCGGCCTCGTGGCGGCCGAGCAGTCACGCGGCGGGCGCGGAGCCACGCCGGGCTTCTTGGCCGATTTTAGAGATGGAGTCTCTTGACTTTTCTGTCCAGGCTGGCTTTGAACCCGTGATCCTCCAGATCCCAGCCTCCTGAACAGCTCAATGTACAGGCACGAGCCTGTCCATCACAGGAGCCAGAGACTGAAATGCTACACGTGGCTGGAGCATTAATCAAGGTCAGCTGCGAAGATGCCAGTCTAATAAAGCACACGCGCGCGCACACACGCACGCACACACAGATCGCTAGGAAATTGCGAAAAGCGATACATAACAAGAGGTGCACCTGGAATAGATGACATCCCAAGAACTCACAAAGGGCTGGGCAGGTGGCTAGTGGTAGAGCGCTTGCCTGGCATGCATGAGGCCCTGGGTTCCATTCCCCAGCACCCCATAAGCAGAAAATGCCAGAAGTGGCGCTGTGGCTCCAGTGGTAGAGCGCCAGCCTTGAGCTGAAGAGCTGAGGGACAGCGCCCAGGCCCAGAGTTCAGGCCCCACGACCCACCAAAAAAGAAAAAAGCAATGAAGGAACATAAACCAGAGAGCAACATGCACACCCTGCTCACCTGCTTCTGGTTTGTTCAAGTCATAGATGCGCAGTAGTTTGTCCTGGCCCCCGGTTAACAAGTAATTACTGTCCTGAAAGCGAAGAAGCGAAGCGTTCATGAACTCCATGGGTTCGTTGTTCTGTGTGACACGCCCAGACCGGGGACCATTGTGCAAAAGGCACCAACGTGACAGAGGTGGCTGCCACGTCCCGAGGGGCTTCCTGACCAGGCCCCTCCCCCCGCGGGCCGCACCCGCGTCTCATCTCTCAGAAATCATCAGGGAAGGTCTCGGCGCTTCGTAGACAGCTGTCTACCGCTGGACGGATGGCAGACCCAGGATCCCAAACAGCCCATGCAGCCTTATACACAACGATCAAATCACCAAGAAAACAAGGCATGCCCAAGAGCCCAGAATAAAGCATTCGTCGTTTTACTCTACAGAGATTTAATCCTCTCAATGGTCTCATTTTTGTTTTCATTTCTTTGGCTTTTCTGTTCACCCCTGAGCGGCACCCCCGCGCGATCCACAGCGGTACCTGCGTGAAGTCCACCGTCTTGACGATGTGTTTGTGCGCCAAGGTCATCAGCTCGTCCCCCGAGACCGCGTCCCACACTTTGCTAAAATGGGGGGGGGGGGGGGGGGGGGGGGAGGATGATTAAAAGGATGTTCAACCTGGCCAACATTAGAAAATACAGCAAGCCTCGTTCTAACTACCAGGGACACTGGACGCTGAATTCTTATGAGTGCATTCATTACGAATCTTCTGCCTTAGAATCTTTTCTCAACGTTAGAAAATACTTAAACATAAAGAAAAAGACTAGCCAGGCACCAGTGGCTCCCGCCTGTCATCCCAGCTACTCAGGAGGCTGAGATCTGAGGACCGTGGTTCAAAGCCAGCCTGCGCAGGAAAGTTCGTGAGATTCTGATCTCCAATAAACCACCAGAAAACAGCAAGTAGCGCTGTGGCTTGAGTGGTAGAACACTAGCCTTGAGCTGAAGAGCTGAGAGACAGTGCCCAGGCCCAGAGTTGAAGCCCCAGGACCGGCAAAACAAAAACCAGAAACAAAAACAAGACTAAATGCCTCCATAAGACTTCTCTTTCTAATTTCCTCTGCCTGTGAAAAAGATGTTACATAACCACCGTCTCCTTGCTCAGATCCCATAAAAACCCAACTCCTGCCCCAGCTCTTCGCCCACTGGAAGCTGCTCTATCTCAATAAACAGCCCTCACCGGTGGAAGATCGAGTCCACCTGCTTCCTTTCTCCTCCAGTTTCCTAACACCAACTTGAACTAATCTGTGCAACTGGGAGGAGCAGCTCTTGATTCTACAAGAGGCGGGGGGGGGGGGGGGGGGGGGGGGGGGGGGGGGGGGGGGGGGGGGGATCAGAATACACTGCCTGCCACATGAGCTGGCCCAGAGCGAAATCAGAAGCTCTCTGCGTGCGATGTCTGCACCGTCTACCCCCACATGTATGTTTACCACAGTACCTTAGGGCTGGGATGTAGCTCAGTGGCAAAGCACTTACCTAGAAGTGTAACGTCCTGGATTCAATCCCCAGGACCAAAAGAAAACGGAAAAAAAAAAAAAAAACCACAAAGAGAAAGCCAGGCACCAGTGGCTCAAGCCTGTAATCCTAGCTACTCAGGAGGCTGAGATCTGAGGATCGAGGTTCAAAGCCAGATAAGAGTCCGTGAGACTCCAATAAAGCACTAGAAAACTGGAAGTGGAGCTGTGGCTCAAGCGGTTGAGCGCTCGCCTTGAGCTGAAGAGCGCAAGGACAGCGCCCAAGACCAGAGTTCAAACCCCACAACCGACCAAAAAAAAAAAAAAAAGGGAAGAGAAAACAGCAATTTATCAAGCAGGAGCTCACTGCCATCAGCTCTATAACCCAACTACCATAATAAACTTCTCTGGTGTTTCTGAATGCTTTCCAGGTAAGAAGATCTCAAACTTCTAATCTTCTCGCCTCAGCCTCCTAAGTGTTACCAATGCTGGGATTACAGGTGTGCGCACCACCGTTAGATCTCTGAATACTTTAAAATACTCCCTACCAAATGTCTATATAGACTGTAGAGTTGTGTAGGTTGTGTAGGTTAAATCTAATTTACTGAATTCATTATAAAACCAACACGATGCATCCCCAGTAATGAACTGAGTAAAAAACAAGACCCTAAACTTACAGCAACTACTCCAAAAACCAAAGTCAAGATCTAGAATTCACTAGCCCTCTGTTGTACTTTAGAAGACTTTTCCCAAATAACTTATTTGGCAAATATAAAATGGCCACCTGGTCCTACCAAATACCATCTTAGAAATAGAAAAATAGAGGAGTTAAGTAGTTAACATCAGCTGAGGGGTAAAAAGGGAAGAGAAAAACCTCTGGGACTATGACTGTGGGTCCCAAAGCGGGAGAGAGACAGAAAAAGGGCTTTCACAGGACAAGGCTGACGCTGATGATGGTCTAGACTCACACACATCCCTAGGTTCCCGTGTAAGACAAGAGAAAGCCACCCAAACCTGGCAGAATTCAGGACGGCTCAAGACAAAGGAGTGCAGGGGGCCCAAGCGGGAGCGGCAGTGAGCTCCAACTCTGCGTATTCTGTTGCTCTGGACACCTAGAAACTGAGCGGGGCCAGGACTGGTCCTGACGGGACACAGGCACGGGAGGAGCCGGCACCCCGGGCACGGCACCCCGGGCACTTACGCGGTGAAATCCGCAGCCGCCGTGGCCGCTTTCGTGGCATCTTGGTTCAGTGTTGCGCCCCACACAGCACCCTTGTGACCCAGGAACGTGCCGATCCAGTCCCCTGTGTCTCCCTGGCGTAACATGGGTTTCCCATCTGGAAAAGATGTTGCAAAGAATCCCACGTTAACAATAAGTCCAGGTCACTTGAACATAAAAATGACTCGACTGAAGAGCAATGAGGGAAAAAAATGGGGTTGCTGTGTTCATCATTCCCACTTGCCGAAGAACAGGCCAAAAATAAACGGACCCGAAAAAAATGAACCAGTCTGTCTCTCCACAGCATTTGAGACTAGGTCAAAAGAATCTTGTAAGAGCCTTTGAATTTTGGACCAACTGAAAGACAAGTCACATTTCTTTTCCCTCTTTCAAAAACGATGCTAATGCCACCAAAGGAACATCAGGTTGAGATGTGCGTGAGCTGCGTCTTTGTCCCCTGGGCCTGCTTCCGTGACCTCCTTCCCCAGCATCCTCCACAGCTGCGGGAGCCTCGGTGGACGGACAGGGGTTGGAAGGATGTGGCCTGAGCTCACTTGGCCCCAGTGAGGACTGGACACTGGGCACCGGGTGGCTCACACCTGTCATCCCAGCTACTCAGAAGGCTGACATCTGAGGATCACGGTTCAAAGCCAGCCCTGGCATGCATGCACACACACGCACACAAGTCCTCCAATGAACCAGCAACAAGCCAGAAGCGGAGCTGTGGCTCAAGTGGCAAAGTACCAACCTTGAGAAAACAAAGCAAAACAAAAAGCAGGGGGAAGCTGTTCAGACCTGGGGATGATGGGGGAGAGGTGACGGGGGTCCCCCCACACACTCGGCCTTCTGACTGGCTAAGGAAGGCCAACCCAGCCCATCGGTCGCCAGGCCGCCCTCCCTCCCCTGGTCCAGCATCCTCGGGTCCTCCCCTCGCAGGGTCTGGACCTGGCCTCTGCGGGTGAGAAGCCGTCCATCCACCTAACCCTGGGCCGGAAGCATCTCACCATCCACCGCCTCCGGCCGGTGGGTCTGAGCCCCCTGCCCAACGTCTCCCCTTGCTGGGTCGGGCCCGGGGCCCCCTTGGCACCCCCAGTCCCCCACCCGCCAGAAACCAGGCCCCCCCCGGCTCCCCCACACCCCAGTCCCGCGGCTCCCTCGGCCCCCCCAACTCCCCGGTCCCCCAGCCTCCCCGCCCCCCAGAACCTCGGGTCCGCCGGCCCCCTGCCCCCCACAACCCCCGGTCCCCCCGATCCCCGGCCCCCCAGCCTCCCCGCCCCCCAGAACCTCGGGTCCGCCGGCCCCCTGCCCCCCACAACCCCCGGTCCCCCCGATCCCCGGCCCCCCAGCCTCCCCGCCCCCCAGAACCTCGGGTCCCCCGGCCCCCTGCCCCCCACAACCCCCGGTCCCCCCGACCCCCGGTCCCCCCGATCCCCGGCCCCCCAGCCTCCCTGCCCCCGAGAACCTCGGGTCCCCGGCCCCCATCCCTGGCCCCCCCGCCCCTCCACCCCCTGGCCCCCCAACTCCCCAGCCCCCCAGCTCCCCACCCCCCACGAACCTCGGGCCCCCCGCCCCCCCGCCCCCAGGTCCCCCCGATTCCCCCGACCCTTGGCCCCCTGCCCCCCCGACCCCCCGACCCCAACCCCCTGACCCCGCCCCCCCACCCCCAGGTCCCCCCGATTCCCCCGACCCTTGGCCCCCTGGCCCCCGACTCCCCGATCCCCTGACCCCGACCCCCCGAACCTCGGGCCCCCCGACCCCCTGACCCCGGCCCCCCGACCCCCCCCCGCCCCTCGGCCCCGCCCCCCCCCCCCCCCCCGCTCACCCTTGCAGGCGCTGATGAGGAAGTAGCCGTAGGGCGTGACGCCGCTGAAGGCCAGGTCCACCACGGGCCGCGTGTGGCCCGAGCAGGTGAGCGGCGTCTGCCTCATGGCCATGGCGGCGGCGGCGGGGCCGAGGGCGGCCGCGCTCGCGGGCCCGGGCCGGGCGCGGCCGGAGGCGCCGGGGGCCGGGGCGCGGCGGAGCTGGGCCCGGGGCGGCGGCGGCGGCCGCGGGGTCCCGGGAGGCGAGGAGGCCGCGCGGGGGGCACCGCACACGGGCCGCGGAGCCGCTCGGTCCACGCACCGGCAGCGGCCGGAAGTGACGCCAGCACGGACGCCCGAGCGTCCGGCGGCGGTGACGCAGGGGGCGGGCCGAAGGCGGGAGCGCCGGCCCGAGAGGAGCACGGGAGGGGCGGCAGTGCGCAGGCGCGAGCGCGCCCGGCGCGGGGGGCGGAGCTGGCGGCGCGGGGCGGGGCTGGCGGCGCGGGGGGCGGGGCTGGCGGCGCGGGGGCGGGGCTGGCGGCGCGGGGGCGGGGCTGGCGGCGCGGGGACGGGGCTGGCGGCGCGGGGGCGGGGCTGGCGGCGCGGGGGCGGGGCTGGCGGCGCGGGGGCGGGGCTGGCGGCGGGGGGCGGGGCTGGCGGCGCGGGGGCGGGGCTGGCGGGGGGCGGGGCTGGCGGCGCGGGGGCGGGGCTGGAGCGCGGGGGCGGGGCCGGCGGCGCGGGGGCGGGGCCGGGAGCGCGGGGGCGGGGGCCGGCGGGGCTGGCGGCGCGGGGGCGGGGCCGGCGGCGCGGGGGCGGGGCTGGCGGCGGGGGCGGGGCTGGCGGCGGGGGCGGGGCTGGCGGCGCGGGGGCGGGGCTGGCGGCGCGGGGGCGGGGCCGGCGGCGCGGGGGGCGGGGCTGGAGCGCGGGGGCGGGGCTGGCGGCGCGGGGGCGGGGCTGGAGCGCGGGGGCGGGGCCGGCGGCGCGGGGGGGAGCTGGCGGCGCGGGGGCGGGGCTGGAGCGCGGGGGCGGGGCTGGCGGCGCGGGGGCGGGGCTGGAGCGCGGGGGCGGGGCTGGCGGCGCGGGGGCGGGGCTGGAGCGCGGGGGCGGGGCTGGCGGCGCGGGGGCGGGGCTGGAGCGCGGGGGCGGGGTTGGCGGCGCGGGGGCGGGGCTGGCGGCGCGGGGGCGGGGCTGGCGGCGCGGGGGCGGGGCTGGCGGCGCGGGGGGGGCTGGCGGCGCGGGGGGGGCTGGCGGCGCGGGGGCGGGGCCGGCGGCGCGGGGGCGGGGCCGGCGGCGCGGGGGCGGGGGCCGGCGGCGCGGGGGCGGGGCCGGCGGCGCGGGGGGGGCTGGCGGCGCGGGGGCGGGGCTGGCGGCGCGGGGGCGGGGCTGGAGCGCGGGGGCGGGGCTGGCGGCGCGGTGGCGGGGCTGGAGCGCGGGGGCGGGGTTGGCGGCGCGGGGGCGGGGCTGGCGGCGCGGGGGCGGGGCTGGAGCGCGGGGGCGGGGCCGGCGGCGCGGGGGCGGGGCCGGCGGCGCGGGGGCGGGGCTGGCGGCGCGGGGGCGGGGCTGGAGCGCGGGGGCGGGGCTGGCGGCGCGGTGGCGGGGCTGGAGCGCGGGGGCGGGGTTGGCGGCGCGGGGGCGGGGCTGGAGCGCGGGGGCGGGGCTGGCGGCGCGGGGGGCGGGGCTGGCGGCGGGGGCGGGGCTGGCGGCGCGGGGGCGGGGCTGGAGCGCGGGGGCGGGGCTGGAGCGCGGGGGCGGGGCTGGAGCGCGGGGGCGGGGTTGGCGGCGCGGGGGCGGGGCTGGCGGCGCGGGGGCGGGGCTGGCGGCGCGGGGGCGGGGCTGGAGCGCGGGGGCGGGGCCGGCGGCGCGGGGGCGGGGCTGGCGGCGCGGGGGCGGGGCCGGCGGCGCGGGGGCGGGGGCTGGCGGCGCGGGCGGGGCTGGCGGCGCGGGGGCGGGGCCGGCGGCGCGGGGGCGGGGCCGGCGGCGCGGGGGCGGGGCCGGCGGCGCGGGGGCGGGGCCGGCGGCGCGGGGGCGGGGCCGCGGCGCCACTTCCGGCTCTCCGCTGGTTTCTTGTAACAGATCAGATCGGGCCTCGGGCCGCCGTCCTCCGGTCTCAGACCCCGAGTAGCCGCGGCGACCCGCGGGCCCCGCCCCGCCCCGCTTGTTGTTGTTATTATTGTTGTTGTTGTTGTTGGCAGCGTCGGGCCGCGCTCGTGCCGCCTGCGAATGCGACGAGGCGACCTCTGCCCGTGGGAAGCCACTCGGAGGAGCTGACCTCGGGCTGCGTGGGGGAGGGGGAGGGGAGGGAGGGAGGGGGGAGGAGGGGGTGGGGAAGACCAGGGAGGGGGGGGGGAGGGGAGGGAGGGGGGGGAGGGAGGGGGAGGGGAAGACCTGAGGGGGGAGGGGAAGGACAGAGAGAGGGAGAAGGAGGGGGGGCGAGGGGGAGGGGGAGACCAGAGAGAGGGAAGGGAGGAAGAGAGGAGGGAGGGAGGGGGAGGGGAAGACCTGAGGGGGGGAGGGGGAGGGGAGGGGAGAGAGGGAGAGAGAGCAGAGACTCCTGCTGGCCTTCAAGCAGCAACCCGCGGCCTGGTGCGGAGGCCAGGCCTGCAGAAGCTGCTGTGGCCTGAGGCCTGACACAAGTGAGGCCTTTTTTGTCCCCCAAGGAAAAAGGCCCCCAGAGCTGATGTATCTGCGCCTCAGGTTCTGCACACGCACGCGCACACACACACGAAAAACATCCCAGCCGCCTGGCCTTCCAGGATGTACCGAGAGGGCGCGGTTGCAGGTTCTAGGCCCCGCCTGGGTAAAATACAACACCCCCTAACTGAGGAGGCTGAGGGCTGAGGAGGATCGCAAGCTCGAGGCCGCCCTGGGTTCATTAGGGAGACAGCCAGGAAACAGAGATCACTCAGTCCTCACCTCCTCCCTGAGAGGCCGAGGTGGGAGGACTGGAGTTGGAGGCTAGCTCAGGCAGAATGGGCTTAGCTGGCAGCGAGTCCAGAGAAAGCGAGTGCCGGTGGCTCCCGCCCGTCACCCCAGCTCCTCAGGAGGCTGAGATCTGAGGATCGCGGTTCAAAGCCAGCCCAGGCAGGAGACCGTGAAGACTCTGATCTCCAACGAACCACCAGAAAACCAGAAGTGGCGCTGTGGCTCAAGTGGTAGAGCACCAGCCTTGAGTGAAAGAGCTCAGGGACGGCGCCCAGGCCCTGAGTTCAAGTCTCAGGGCTGACACAAAAATTAAACTCCAGTGGTAGATCATCTGCCTAGCAAACAGGACACCTTGCAGGCAAATGGTAGTGCCACCAAGATAAAGAACAAGAAAGCCCAGGGATTCCATGGCCAGCCGGAGGGGGCGGTGTGGGATGTCTCCACCTAATTACACTTGTAAACAGGACTAATAAAACAATAGGACTTATTTTAATATATATATGTTTATTTACACATGAAAAACATCCCCAAGTGCCTGTATCTGAATTTATTGATTTCTGAATTTAGAGAAGTGTTTGATTATTTAATAGCCTGGTGAGGAATTGTACCATTTGTTTAAACAAATTTTTTTTTACCCCATCCAACAGGCAAAAAAAGGTTTATATGTTTTCCTCTCAGCCAGTAGATGGCAGTCTGTTCATGCTTAATATTAAATTATAATTCAATGGGCTTTTGTGGGGGAGGAGCTTATTGACAAGGGTATTTTGATTTTTCAAGTAACAAAATACATCTTTATATCTAGAAGATGTTTCAATACACATTAATAAAAAGTTGTCCTTTTGATTAGAGTTTAAAACAACTTGCGTTTTGTGTGTCTGTCTGTCTGTGCTGGTCTTGGGGTCTTGAACTCAGGGCCTGGGCGCTGTCCCTGAGCCCTTTTCAGCTCAAGGCTGGTGCTCTACCCCTTGAGCCACAGCTCCACTTCTAGATTTCTGGTGGTTCGTTGGAGATCAGAGTCTCACTGACTTTCCAGCCCAGGCTGGCTTTGAACCGCAATCCTCAGATCTCAGCCTCCTGCGTCGCCGGGACTACAGGCGTGAGCCACCAGCCCCCAAGTGGGTTAACTTTTTTTTTTTTTAACGTGTATTCACTCTGGGGGTTAGGACTGAACTCAGAGGCGCAGGTAGGCGGCCGTGTGACAAGATCAACCCCAGTGACAGAAACAAGCCACCGTTTTCCACAGGACCCCAGCAAGTGAATCCTCTGCTTTGTGTGTTTAATCCTCAGGCCCAGCCGCCATGTCTTCCTATGAGAAAGCCTGGGATGGAGAAACAAGACACCAAGGGGACCAGAATGGTACAAGAGCCTGAGCGATACGGAGTTTGCAGACACAGAGAACTGTCTGCTTCTGTCTTCAACATCGCAGAACAAATTTGAATTTTAAAGAAAGGAGACAGAACAGCAATATTCAACAGGAACATGGTTGGTTCCTCTTTGATCATTGTTCTCATACAGCCAACTTCCAAGTGAACACATCTGGGCCGTTCGCTGCTGCTCCGTGTGAGTATTGTGTGAATTGTGCAAAAGGGAGAATAGATTTTTGTCAGAATGTGTAATGAATTCTTTTTGCTGTGGTTGGTGGGTTTTTTTGGCAGTCCTGGGACTTGAACTCAGGGCCTGGGCACTGTCCCTGAGTGCTTTTCGCTCCACACCGGTGCTCTACCACTTGAGCCACAGCTCCATTTCTGGTTTTCTGGTGGCTTATTGGAGTTCAGAGTCTTATGGACTTTCCTACCTTGGGCTGGCCTCGAACCGCGATCCTCAGATCTCAGCCTCCTGAGTGGCTGGGATGACAGGCAGGAGCCACCGGCGCCTAATTTCCAGCGCCTAATTTCCAATCTTTTAAAAACTTAGTTGAGAAGTGAAGTTCAGATTCTGCATGCATATCATACAGTATATTTCTTATTGCGAGTTGGAACGTAGAAGCAATTTTCTATCAGCAATAAATAGCTGGAGAGAGAGGGAGAGCGCGCAGCGGGAATTAGAGTTGAAGAGGCATATGGGGTGGGTGTCTTTCGGATTATCTGGATAATCTCGAATTAACCTACAGGGATGACTTGGAGCTTTAATTACTGCCAAGACTCTCACAGTGCACGCGTTTAAACACACGTCCTGTCACTCGGCTACAACCCCAGAGGCCAAATCTAGGCCTCTTAACTGATCTAGGTGAGGAGGGGGGGGGG